TCGCCTTTGCGGATGCTGCAAGCTCGCGTTGCCCGCCTGCCTGGTCCCGACGCGCACGGGGGGCTGCGGCTGCTGCGGGGGGCTCTGCTGCAGCAAGACGGGGGAGACGGCGAAGGGGCTGGGCACGGCCTGGGCGTACTGCAAGCGGCGCATCATGCGGGGCGAGCCCAGGGCCATGGAGCCCACCAGCGGGCTGGCCATCTGCGGGCAGAAGCTCATGGCGACGGCTTGCTGGAGGGTGGCGATGGCGGAGGTGACCTGGGGCTGGACGGGGCTGTACATGGCCGTGTGCTGCTGCAGCTCTGCCTGCTGCACCATCTCCCGGTCGTACTTGACGATCTCCTGGATGATTTCGTTCTCCTGGTTGTTGAAGACACCTGAGTTGAGGTCGTGCTGCACTTTGTGGAGCAGGATCGAGTTCTTCTTCCCTGCAAGGACATGGCCGGTACGGGGAGCGCCGTGAGACCCTGCGGTGGGGTGGCATTGGGCCTCCCCCACGCCGGCCACGGCTGCCCCACACTGCTGGGACAGCCCCCTCAGCCTCCCCGAGAGCCCTCTGTGCCCTACCGATGCGGTCGAGGCGGTCGATGGCCACGGTCTCAAAGGCCCGTCTCATCATGGGGTACTCCTCCAGCACCTCGTTGAAGTTGTCCACCGAGAGCGAGTAGAGGCGGCAGTAGGTGTCTGCCCGGACGCTGGCCGTGCGCCGGCCGCGGGTCAGCAGGCAGATTTCTGGGGGGAAAACAACAGTGCCAAGGTAAAAACATGGCCAGAAAGGACTGCAAAGGGGGACAGGCCAGGAGGAGGGGGCAAGAACCACCGCGTGGTGGGTGCCCTGGGACAGCACGGGTGTTGCGGTGGCTCTGGCAGACCCTGGGAGGGGACCTGGGCTCAGCCAGCGCTCACCTCCAAAGTAGGAGCCGTCGGAGAGTTTCATCTCCTTGTTGCCCTTGGTGAGGATGCTGACCACCCCGTGCTGGATGAAGTACATCTTCTTGCCGATGGTGCCCTCGCGGATGATGTAGTCGCCCGGCTGAAACACCTCAAACTTCAGCTTGGTGAGCATCGCCGTGACGAAGTTGGGGTCCGCGTTGGCAAACAGCGGCATCGAGGCCACCAGCTTGCGGCAGTTGAAGTTCACGATTTCCTGCAGGGGAAGGAGGTGAGGGACCAGGAGGCCGGGACATGGCTTCCCCCAGGGCATGCTCATGAACACAGAGGTGTCAGCACCCACAAACACGATCGTGCATGGACATATTCACAATTGGAGCTGCAAAGCCGAAGCAAAAGATGCTCAACCCCAAGGGCATGCACTGCAGGAGCTGGTGGGACCCACAGCCCCCCCGCGGCAGGCAGCAGGGGGTCCCTCACTGGGTGGGGGGAGCAGTCCCCATCCTCACTGTGTCATCCCACGCCCGGCTCTCCAGCCCCGGGGGCCCTGACCTCGCGCAGGGGCTCGTTGAGCTCCCCCAGGATGCTGTCCTCATCAAACATCTTGCCCTGGTAGCGATGCTCGTAGTAGTCGTGGATCTTCTGGCGGAAGTCAGCGGGCAGCTTGTGGAAGGACATGTACTGCTCCACTTGCTTGTACTGTGGGGAGAGATGGCGTCAGCACCCAGCCGGCCTGGGACCCCCGACATGTCCCCACGCCATGGGGCCGGTCCTGGTCCCCTCCTGCTGCCGCCCCGCAGATGGGATCCGCCCGGAGCCACTGCGGCTCCAGGAGGGGATGTGACGGCCGAGCACAGGACAGGAGCCGTGGTCCCCGTCCAGCCCAGTCCTACCTTCTCCTGGTACTGGCGCCGGGAGGAGTCCAGCGACTGGATGAGGGCGGTGGCGTGGCCGATGAACATGGCGTAGCAGGTGGCCCCCACGATCATGCTCAGCATCGTCAGCCAGATGTCCGTCATGCTCTCGGGCGCCTGCTTCCCGTAGCCGATGCAGAGCATGTGGCTCATCGACTTGAAGAGGGCAAAGGAGTACAGCTCGCTCCAGGAGTCGTTCTGCAGCGACAGGGACGGCGGCGGCGCTCAGCCCTGGCTGGTGCACAGCTGCTCGCACGCGTGTGTGTGCATGCACGTGTGTGTGTGTGTGAGCAATAGGATTCGGTTGGTTGGTTGGTTTTGACAGTCTCACTGTGCAGGTGAGATCCAAACAAACCCTGCAGCGCTCTGCTCCTTCCTGGAGGGTCTCGCCACCCGCCTGGCTTTCCTTTAGGTAGTCAGTCATTTTATTTTACTTTTTTTTAGAGCTGATCTACAGAAGCGCAGGGAGCCCCTGTGAAACGCGGTGACGGGAGTAAGCTCTGTGTGTGGAAGCCACTGAGTTACAGCAGCACTCGTGCGCAGGAGCCTGCGGCCGTGGCCGTGGCCGGGACAGTGGGCAGCAGCAGGCAGGGATGGCAGGAGTCCCCCGGCACGGCACCACGCGCAGCCCCCGCATCACCCCGGGAGCGAAGCAGCCAGGGAAGGAGAAGCACAGGGAGGAGAGGAAGGGGAGGACGCGGAAGAAGCCACGCGGGGGGAACGGAGCAGAGATGGAAACACCGGCAGAACGGGACGAGACGGACGGAGGGAGAAGACCCATTTGTAGCAGACTGAGGGGCTGAGAGGGAGCAATTAGAAACGTGGCCCATTATTTATTAATAGCAGCTTTGTTGCTAATGAGCAGGGAGAAGGCAGCAAGGGATGGGGCAGAGAGCTGTGTCAGCATCTTCCTCCCACCCGGATCGATCCGCTGCCCCAGGTCCTGCGAGACCTCACCAGGGACACCATTTGCAGCAGGCACGGCTGCCTGCGCGCCGTCGGGGCACCTCAGCACCGGCCAGCGCTGGGGTGGCATCTCCTGGGGTCGGTGGAGAGAGGCCGGAGGGCACGGGCACGGCCGGGGGCTCAATGGGAGCACAGCAGGGTTGGGCCAGCACTCACCACCATCCCGTTGATGGAGACCCAGCAGTTCTGGGGGAAATCCTGCAGCATGGGCACAAGGAACTGGAGGCAGCCGTCCCAGTGGCAGAGCAGCAGCATCATGCCGATGAGGTTGATGATCCTCATCACCGCACTGGCCAGGTCGTAGGTCATGTGGAAAATCTGTGGGTGGAGGGGCCGGGGCGGGATGGCAGAGTGTGAGCAGAGGGACCGTCCCCCCCTGCCCATCCCCGCCTGGGGCACCAACCCGCATGGCCTCGGCCGAAGGAGGCACTCACGGCTGGCCCGGCCCCGGCCCTCCCCCAGGGGGCC